CCAACTAAAGTGGAATTTTTTTATTATAACTGTCAATATGATTACCAGAAAAAAAATTGAAAAAGATGGCTACCAATTCATTTTTAAAAGGTATCCTGGGATATTGATTTTCTAAGTATTTAAAAATATTTACAAAAAATATAGTATGCTTATATTGTATATTGTTATTGGACTCAAATAAAGCAACAAACACTTATATATAAAAAATATATAAATATCTTTATTGTTCGAGTTGTGGCAAATAGATAGAGTGAGGGAGAATCACAGTGGTTAGGATTGCACACAGGAATTGATGGAGACAAATCTTTGATGAAACTCTAGCTAGCCTCACTGCCAGGCCAAGAATTGGACTGGTTTTTTATAAATGATTTGGACACTTAAGAAACCTTTCACATGGCTACAATATGTCATCTTCCAGTATGTTGCTAATGCAACTTCTTGTATCACACCTCTTCTGGCCATATGCCCACGCAACTTTGTTTGGCCATGCCTCTTCCAGAATTCGCACAGTTGCAATACATAGGACCTTTTACTCAGAAACACCTGTGCACTCTGTTTATTCAAGGCTCAGGACAGCTGTGCATTCTGTTTATTTTACTTTAGATGCATTTCTGTTTATACTATCACCCATTCTGATTTCTGCTCACTCTCTGATGCAGTGGAATAAACAATAACCAACATTTATATCTTTCCCCATTTATTTGTGGAATAGAGATTTCTTGATAGAACTAAAGTTATTTTTCTTTTTTAAAATATTCGCCATATGAAAATAAAATGTTTCTTTTTTATTATAATGCAATATTTAACCACATTGTATCTTATTTGTAGCTATTTGTTTTGGCAAACACAGAACATTTATATTTTATTAAAACCTTTTTTATATTTAGGAATAAGAAAAGTGTCAGTTTCCTCTTGGAATCCTGAACTTACACCATAAAATGATAAATGTCTCCAGCATGTAAGAATAAAATGATAAGTGTCTCAACATGTAAGAATAAAAAAAAAATACCTCAACATGTAAGAATAAAATAATAAATGCATCCAACATGTAAGAATAAAATGATAAATGCTCCAGCGTGTAAGAATAAAATGATAAAATGTCTCAGCATGTAAGAATAAAATAATAAATGCATCCAACATGTAAGAATAAATAATAAATGCCTCCAGCATGTAAGAATAAAAAAAATAAATGCATCAACATGTAAGAATAAAATGATAAATGCCCCCTCCAGTGTGTAAGAACTTAAATTAATTTTATTTTAAGATTCTAAAAAAAATGTTGAGTTCTTCAAGAAAGTGATTCAGAAAGAGTTTTTAAAAAATTATCAAAATCTGACCATTGATTAGTTTTTACTAATTTCTTTCTGTGTAAAGAGGGTTTAAAAATTTGATGTGACTATGATTTACTGGGCATATTTAAGAAAACTGTAGAAATTTATCACCTGCTGAGTAAATTTTCTTTTTTTTTTACAAATGTTGTCTAAAATTCATAGGCCAACCAAGATATTGTTGTATTACTGCCCCAGATTAATAAAATCTCATTGCGGTGAAATTTTGAAATTATTACCACTGATGATTTATGGGCGGTACAAGATTTGAAAAGACTCAATCTTTCAGTGAATTTTCATAGTGTAAAAACGTATTGTTTTCCCTCCTGCAAAATGTGAGTAATCAACTACAGACACTTAAAGCTGCTTTTAACTTTTCACATTTCATTTCGTTTTTCATCTTTTCTTTTGTAAAATGCTCTAACAATATCTGTCTATATTTCTGAGATGAGGTATTATGTACACTATTTACATTAGTGTTTATTGTCCTCATCTTTGTTGATGTTATAGTGAAACACTTATTCTATAGTTAATAGACTCTCACATCTAAAATAAGTAGAGTAGTATCGAAACGGGGATGCTCAGTGGTTTGGGCAGTCAGTTGATGCAGTGACGACCGTTAGCTCGGATACTAAATTATCAGCGACCACAACTAGATTTCTGTGTCATTACCTATTATATCAAGTTCCTAACATTTTGTACGTCAACCTATTTTAGGACCGACTTAGTACAAATACAAGCCTCCACTGTGAAACCACTCCATAACACACTTGGCGGCGAGGATGAGATACTCATAATGGAGAAAAAAATTTTTAAAAAAATTCACCCACCATAACAGTTGCCATGTTTATCACAATGTTTTAGTTGTTGTATAATCCGGCCTTCTTCAGGTGTTTGGAATGTTGAACTGAACCCTTTATTTCACCCACTGGGGTAGACTTTTCTATTTCCATGTGCCTTGTAATGGATGTCAGTTATTTCCTGTTAATTCCTTCTGAAAGTTCTCCACTGCCTTAACCAGGTATTGAACTCACTCTTTGGGTCCTGTCACTGGATCTAACTAACGCCTTTATCCACTGTGCCATGTGTCCTTGAGGAAATAAAGGGTTCAGTTCGACATTCAACTGCCTGAAAGAAGGCCGGAGGTACAACAGCTGAAACATTGTGATAAACAGAGTGAAAAAGATGAGGACAATAGTCAAAATAATGTAAATAGTGCCCTGACAATATATTTTTTATATTTCTTTTGTTAAAATTCTATGTATTATTATTCCTTTGGATTTATATATGAGTCCATTTGAAAAAATTGTTATTGGGTCAAATGTACCAGGAACTTATAACTTCTCATAAAAAAGAATATATATCCACTACAATATAAATGTAAATAAACACACCAATTGGTATGTTGCGTTACTCCAAAAACTAAAGATATTTTCCCATGAATAAGTGGATATAGTCAGGATGAAAGCAATAGTTAACTTAGACATTTAGGTGCCATAATGTAAACAAAGCATTTCAACAAAATAACAAAACCAGAAAATCAGAATTAAGGATTCAACGTGCAAGCTAATCAAAATGAAAGATCAAGAGTCTAAAATTGTGTTCAAGTTGAGTCTATCTCTACCGATATAAGCAGAGGAGAATCAGCATTTAAACAGCGATGTACAATAACGACAGAAGAGGAAAAATTGTATATAAAAATTTGATATATGAAAATAAAACCGTAGGTGATGATATTAAGAAAGAATTATTTTGAGGATGAATCAAATTGTTTTCAAATTAGTCTGGTCCTTGTTTCAAATAATTTACCAAGATTGATTTGCTTGACTCCAACTTATTGTTTTATCAAATGTTAAATCAGGTGAAATCTTTCAGAAGGAATGCCCAAGAATGGTTACATTTTAACAGAACAAGATTTAGGAATATTGTCAAACCAAATCATTTCATTAACTTAATAAAGCTAAATTTCAATTAGTTTAAAATTTCTAACACCTTTATATGGCCACAACGACATTTTATACGTTTATATTCTTTGATATGAAATAATAAATGACATGAAGTATCACCTTAGCGTTATTCTATGAGTTAATAATAAATTGTCAGATACATATTTAAATAAAATTAATGGGATGATTATAATCGATTAATATAATGAAATATTTTAAATGACAACTTTTATACATTTTCAGATGTACATAAGAAAAATCTAGATTCTTATATACAACATAGGAATATGATGATATATATATATATATATGATGATATATATAATATATATATGATGATTCGTTAACTGATAAACATTTATTTTTTACATACAGGACTATAATCTAGGAATAGTACAAAATAGTCTGAATAAAGGAAAGCATTGCTCATGAATTATTTTGGTATAGATATTAGATAGCCTTGCTTAACTTTTTTGAAATTTCACTGACAAAAAGAAAAGTTCTTGATTTTTCAATGTGTTAAGTGGTATTCACCACTAAATATTAGCATATTTTGATATTTCATTTATGGTAAAAATGGGATAACGGAGAAAATAAAAGAAGATGTTTTAAAAAAGTTTGAATAAAGTTAAATTTGCTTAAAAAATGATAAAAAACGAGTGGAATGTTGTAGTTGAAATTAAAAACATCGTTGTTTAAAATTTAAGTATTTTCGCAAAATAAAAGGGCTTAAATGAAGTGAAAAATGTTGAATTCAAATAACAAACCTTTTTAAATTCCGTGATGATTTCTAACTTGAAAAATAGTTTTGAACTTCAAACACAACTCAAAAAATTACATGTTTTCCGTTATTCAGCTAATCTGATTGGTAAAAAAATGTTTTCAAAGTGCTACAAAAAGAAAAAAAGAAAGTCTAAAGGAACAAAATACGAAATGCTACAGAAAGAAAATGTTGGGTAAAATGCAAAGTTTATAAAGAATAATAAACAATAGAAAAAAACATAATAATAGAAATGCACAAAAATAAATCACAAAAGTAGAAAAGTAAAAGAAAGGATACACAATAGCAGATCAGAATTAGACACACATACACATACATTTCTGCTTGACCTGACAAACACACTTTGGTGGAATATATACACACACAGTGGCTACACACACATGTGCTTTACACACACATATATAGTTATGTATTTTTTCCATGCCAGTTATATAGTACATATATATATGTATACTTAAATTTTTTTCTTTAGAAAACAAGCTTGAGGACATATTGAAATCAAGAGGGAAAGTAGCACCACATAATCTACTTAATAAGCTTGTGTAAACGGCTGGCAGAACAGGGTTTGGAGATATCAAAAAGACAAAATTTACTCAAAGCTACAAATGATAGGAAATTGTGAACAACCATTATTGGCCACATGCTGAAGAGACATGGCACATGTAAGAATAATGCACTAATATAGTCACATATTCAGTATATGAAGTGGGAATAACACAACTTAGAGAAAATATGAGAGAAAAGTAATACAAGAAATGAAAATCACCAACCTGATGTATTATTGCATATCTTTAGTGATGAGAAATTTTTTGAGCGACCTAAAGAGTTCTCTGCCCATAGTCGAATAAACCAACATTTATCTGGCATGTGCTGCGGTAATTTTATCTGAACATTTCCTGAGCTTGCTTTTGCCGTTTGATTTTCTATATCAATGATGTACCAGACTTCATTAGCACCATATTCACTACGTATAAGACACTGTGGAGAGAGACACAAAAATATCAAATAAGGTATATCCTTTAAGATTTTAATGATATTGATTGATTTATTTTTTATGGCTTATCAACTCTTTACCTTTTATGAGTTATTCAAAGCTAAAACATTTTTTGGATTGAAAAATAATTCTTCTTTGCAAGTGAATATATTGCATTAACAATTTTTTAGGAATAAAAGTGATGTTTCTTAATACAAGTTCTCCTATTTAACCTATAGTTGAGGGGAGAGAAGAAATGGCTTCATACCTTTCCCAAAGGTATTTGAGCCTAAATGAGCATAAACTTGACTGGGATTCAAATTTAGCTTTCTGATTTCTCATTCTGGTTTTTAGTGATAAAAAAATATAGATTGATTGATTAGAAATAAAACAAAAAAGAGCCATATTTGGAAGGTTTTTTTTTGTGTGATAATATTAGGTTGCGTCATAAATACATTAATAAGTAAACAAATTGTGTTTGAATTTCATAAAAATCTTTGTATCAGAATATTTATATCATTCTTACAGAAATCAATTTGCACATTTCAAAAATGGAAAAACATGCCAAAAGGGTGAATGTCAACTTATGCACTTTTAGAATAACACCATAATATAAGACACCAGAGATGATGATTTTTTTTTTTTTTTTTTTTTTTTTTTTTTTTTTTACACAGGTGGGGGTCATATAGTCTATCAAGTACAGTAAACAAAAATTAATTGACCTCTATGATTCACTAATATTAATTAGAGCTCAATAGAACAAGTTCTCTATTTAAAAACACCATCCTTGTCAATCCACTCTCTTTTGCATTAAACATGTCATATTTCTTTACAATTGATAGCTGCCCTGATTTTAATTAAATAGATGTTTGAACAAGCCTGCTACATCAACAACTGAGCTCATTCTTTGTGTTGTCTCAACAATACTTCAGCTAAGTCATAAATAATTTACACCTTTGTTTAACAACTTTATTCTTCCAAAAATAAAGTACAATGATATTTTGTTAAATTATATATTCACCATTATTTGCAGTAACTTGTTACCACTTATCAGGCAGCTCTTCAATATCTTTTGAATAAAATTCTTCAGGTTTGGATATGAAAAGTTTTCAATGAGATCTTGAATCTGGTTTTCATTAGAGAAATACATCTGTCATCAAAGAATATTGCAGCAATTGAAAAAGGTAATATGATAGCTTTGGGTAAAACAAACCAACCAAGTTCAAATCTTTATTTCTATATTGTTCTTGCTGCATGAGGCTTGGCATTGTCATGGATATGAACAAATGCAGGGCATTTTTCAGCCAAACTGTACTATCTTTTGCATTGAACATTATTGTATGTAAACTATTTTTTATCACCTGTTCTAATATATTTAAGGAAACCTTCGGATTATATATTCATCATTACAATTGGCTTCACAAAATGGAAACTACATGAATCAATATATATATATATATATATATAGCACATAAATTAATTTTTAACTTAGTATGAAAATAACAAAAATGAGAAAAATCTGCAGTCATTTGCTGAAACTTCCTAATGAGTGGAGAGAATGATTGTAAATGATTTTTGTCCTTTCCTAAATCCCAACAATAGACAGTCTTCTCTTTCACTCCCAGTAAACCCCTGCATACTAGTAGCATTGCTGCCTTACTTGGGGTGAAATGATTAAAAAAGAAAACTGTTTTATGAAATTCCAGAGTTGAGGTGCTAAATATAACATCTATCAGCTAAATGACAAATGTTATTTGTATTAATCATATATATATATATATATATATATATATATATATATATATATAGATAATGAAATGGATTAAGTCCAACAATTACTTAATATATTTTCTTTTATACATCATTTTTTATAGATATAATGTATTTAAGTAAATTCTGTTTTTTTTTTTAATTAAATACTATTAATTACATTTACTGGCCTGATTGTTCAAGAAATTGCACAGAAAATATGTGCTCTCTGACGAGCTGTTAACCATTCAGCCACAAAGAAGCATCTGTTTTGCAAAGTCCGAATTACTGTTTATAATTACACACCTTCAAGAATTTTTCGCAATTTATTATTTCTACTCATGAAACATATCTTAACATAAACAGTGACAACATATTATGAAATGGATTAAGTCTGACATTTATTTAATATATTTTCTGTTGACCTCAGTGTAAACTCATATATATATATATATATATATATATATATATATATATTCAAGTTTCATTAAAAACGACAACCTGTCGTGTAATTGATTGGGGTTGTTGTAGCTTCTTCCTTTAATGTCGGTCTTATATCTAGAGGCAGGACGCGATTAAATTTGAGCAACATCTAGCCGACACACTGGGGTTAAAATAGGAAATAGAAATGATACATATGACACACTCATATCCTCTCTCCACCTCACTTCGTTAATTTTACGTATACTTGATGAGGTCCGTCAAAAACATGTGAATTTTTTTTCATTTTTCATTTCAGCTTTTGGAAGTAAAGTCTGATGATCCAGAACCCTGTTAAAGGGGTTATGGTGAAATAGCTTATTACATGGAATCTTAACGTGGTCTGTTTTTTTATTTAAACATATCTGCTCTGAATTTTACATTGAGCTCTCTGGATATCATCCTCCACGGGTCTACCCATACAGATTACCTAAGTTTGCATAAACTATATATATATATATATATATATATATATATATATATATATATATATATATATATGAGTTTACACTGAGGTCAACACCAATTGGCCATAATCTATGTAATGCTTGAGTGCAATCTTCAGGTTATATATGTTGGTTGGAAGCTAAACTTTTTATATGCTGGATGGGTAGCAAGGTCAGGTATTTCCAGTTTATTGTCTTATCCTAAAGGTTATTGGATAGGCAAAAATATCTATATTTTAAATTATTTTCAATTTTGACAGGTATCACAACCTAAAGAAGGTTTAAATAATGCTAATCTACAAAAATTATTTCCTTAAAAATTTTTCATTATTTTTTATGAGCAGATTAATTTATTTAAGTAGTGCCAATCTGTTTATTTTTTATGGTTTACCAACTCTGAGGATTATTTAAAGTTGAAATATATTTTAGAATGTGAGAATAATTATTTTTTTTGAAAGTGAATATTGCATTAACAATTTTTAGTGGTAACAATGATTTTTCCAGATACAAGTCCTACAATTTAACACATAAGAGAAAGATTCATACCTTTCCAGAAGGTATTTGCACATAAGTGAATATAATAAACTCAACTGGAATTTGAGCTCTGCACTTCGCTTTCTCATTCTGAGCCACTATCCATTACACCACCTTCACATCCTGAACATTTGAAGTGGTAACTACATGACTGATATAGGAAAGATCTGGATATTTTTTCATGCTTTTTGAACAAGTGCGAACAGACTGTAATGGTCTTCGTTTTATTTTTACCTTCGTATATAAGATGATTTAAAAACATTTAAGTACTTTAGTTGCAGTGAAATGTGATTTATTTTCTATTTATTAAACACAATCATAAGCAACTGGAGTACTAATTCTCACATGAAAATTTAGCAAACATGACAACTAGTCAAAGTCCTTAGGTGCTTATAAAAAAAAAAAAAAAATTGTGCATTAGACTTAAAAAGAAAAATTATCTGATTACTGACCTGCCAATAAAGAACAACAGTAGAATGATTTTCATCCCATTTAAAACTACTTTGAGTCAAAGATGGCGGCTGACTTGGATCTGAAAGTATGGAAAAACAATATATAAATTTATCACAACAATTTTTTTTAAAAATCTAAGTGTAAAAAATTGTATTTTGTCCTTAAGACTTCATCAGATTAAAGCAGGGGGAACCAAACTACAGCCTACAGGCTAGATTTGACTGCTGCACTGTGCCACAAATGAACTAAAATATAATTGTTTGTATGGAATTATCAATAGATTGTAATTAAACTTACATTCATTTTCATTTTTTGTACATAGTAAAAATGCCAAAATTTGGCCAATCTGATTTTTGCATCTGACAGTAAGTCAATAAGTTTTAGGAAAATCAGTGAAATAAAAAATTGTTAGCATTGTTTTTTTGTGTATTCAGTGTATTGTATTGAACAAAATGGTTATCAGGTCCACGTTTGTCATTCTCTCAGTTTTCTAGCTCTCTGCAAAAAAAAGTTTGGTGACCCCTGGACTAAAGTGGTGTTTACATTTATTTCATTCAGTTTCTGTATGCTTTTATCACTTTTATTATTAAGTATACCACATTGTGATAACAAAAGCTCTGCCAAGAAAGGTGAAATGCTGTAAGAACATGGATGCAAATTTATGGTAGATGATTGAGCAATCAAAGCACTTTCTATACATTTTGGCAGAGAAACCAATTTACTAAGGCTACAGTCATTTTCCAACTTATTTAAGATAATAATCACCCTCTCTTGAACCCTTTATTCAATTTACAGTGTCATATTATTCTCATTTTGGTATTTATGTCCAAATCTGAAGATCACTTAAGACATGAAATAATTTATTTAGAAAATATGTTTACACACATCCCTAAACAAGGGTGAAATACTTGGTTACATATTTCACCCCAAAAGTCACACTAATATTAAACTTCTTTTCTAAAAAAATATTATCTAATAATAAATATATCCAAACAAATTCACATATATTTACACCATAAAATAACACCTTTTAAAGAAAATATCATCTCTGAGAAAAACATTCAGGTTTTACAATTGAATGTCGTGAGAGTGGATGTAACTCTGCAAAACTCAGCAGAGAGAAAAGATAAGTAAACATTTAATTTTATTTATTATTGTTATTAATGCTCTATATCTTGATATTAAGCACTATAATTACAAATTCTACCTGCCTAAAACAGGTTATCTTTCAGAAGTACTTTGGTCAAATTTTTGTTTTTCAAAATACAATCTTTTTATATATATATATATATATATATATATATATATATATATATATATATATATATATATATATCAGGTGTAACAGCAAAATTGTCCAATTGTTAGATTAAGCTCTGAACCGTTGTATCTTTAGAAATGATGAAAGATATCTTACTGGAATTCTCAGAGGTTTTTAAAACAATACTGGACTTTAATTGAGCAATAAGAATGTATAATTACTCTCTAAGCTTAACAGAGGTATTGTGATGAAAACGATCATAAATGAAAATGACATGTTCATCATTGATTAATCATAGCCATGATTGGAAGCTCATGAAAGATTGATATGAAGTTCATATATATATATATATATATATATATATATATATATATATATCATTCCAGGATCATTTTCCAACTTATTCAAGATAATCTTTGCCCTCTCTAACCTTCTAACTTTCTCTCCTGGAATAACAATAGGTTTCATGTATGATTTCATTTTCAAGTCTTTTTCACCGCTCATTGGACTGTCATATCTGAAACTCCTCTCTCATGTGCCAAAGACCTTATGAATTAAGTTGGATCTTTTGTAATTGATCTCTTTAGCTCTAAGTTGAAACGATGACCCCCTCTTCCTGTTGTGACCTCCTGATTCAGTTTTACACTCTACTGTTTACTCTTTTTAACTTGAATGGACTTTGAAGATGGAAGCTAGAGTATGAATGTTGGTACCATTACTGAAGGCATGAATGATCTTTTTCCTCTCAGTTGAGAAGACAGTGGGTTTGACACAAACAATTTTAACCTGCTCTCTTTTTAGCTGAATAACTTCAGTGATTCTTATGAAAAATGGTATCAAGATGGCTAAAAGTCTTATCTGAAAACCTGGAAAATAAGAAAATATATATATATATATATATATATATATATATATATATATATATATATAAAATGTATATGAATAAACAATTTTTAAAATAAGGATCATAATATAATATTTAATGATTAAAATCAAATACAACAAATATAATCTCATTTAAAATCAGATAAAATAACTTAAGACTCCTTTCGTCCAACGCTTCATCAGAAGCTAATAAATCATCAGAATTAAGACACTGTGTTGATCACAACAGTTTCTAGGATATTCAGATGGTGTTTTGTCCAGATACTGTGCAGAAACAGAGAACTCATCTGAATAGTTATTCATATATATATATATATATATATATATATATATATATATATATATATATATATATATATAATAAAATGATATATTTTTTAATATATATCAAGAACAATCTTGGGGGAAACATGTATGACAAAGTGGAAAAGTTTTCACTTGATGCATTTTAATCTTTAGGACTTCATTAAACTAAGTGTTTATGTTGATATGACGACACATGAGCACGAATGAGAGACGCTGGGAATTTTAAATTTAAAAATAATTTTCTTTTTAAAATTTAAATTTTTGTTTAAATTTAAATTTTACACACAAAAATATTTAAATTTAAAAAAAAAAATACTAATTGTTTAGGAAACATGCTAAATACCTGAAGATAACCCAATGTAATACTGACAGTCATGCTTATTATTTTTCTCTTGTGTCTTGAATTCATTTTTATTAAGGGATGGCTGAAAATAGTCCTTACTTCAGCTCACTTCACTAAATGTAACTAAATGACCAAACAACAGATTCTTTGGAAGGGCTTAAAAAATTAAAAAATATATATATATTTGGTCAGATTCTGGGAAGTGGTTCATTTTCTATGATACAATTATCAAATATTTTTACTTTGAAGGTGTTGAAATCTGGCCAAATGACCAAAACATCAGATTTTTTTTAGCAAGGATTTAAAAAAAATATTTGTCAGATTTTAGGAAGTGAATCTTTTTCAATTTACCTACAATACTTGATTTTCAACAGTTCTTTTTAGATATATCAATTTAATTGCATTATCACCACATACTCAGATCTTTCAACAGAACTCAAGGATACCAGGAATTTACAAATTTAAATTTATTAAGAGCAAATAGGGTTAATTTATTAATTTGTGATTTGTTTTAGTTTATAAGTCAGTTACAATTTAAAGATTTATTTTAGACAGTAAGTATAAACTTACATGTTCTGTTGATATGAATGAATAAAAAACGTGGTTCACTCCAAATACCAGGACCCTTTTTGGGAAAAGCAGAAATACCAACTTTATATGTTTCTCCAGGAAGAAGATCACAAACCTCCAAATTTTTAACATTTCTAAGAATCTGCAAAGAATAAAAAAAAGTACAATAAAATTATAAATTGTGAATTTTTTTCTTTAAAATTGAAATAATTAGTTTTTCTTAAAAACATAAACAGTGATTTTTTTTTTTTTAATTTTATGGTCAGTTTTAAAAAATACATTTTTTTTATGGACATTTTTTTGATACCTTATCAAGATGTATTAATATTAATTTTTTTTATATATACAATGCAAATGTAAACTATTCACAGTGGGCAACCATAAGGAAATACTGAGACAAAAATTCCTTCAATTGGCTGAATATTATTTGAAAGAAAATGCTGAATAAAAATCAGAATGAACAACAAAATAAAAATTAGAAGAAATTTTCAAAAATGAACTCTAATGAAAAATTGCTAAATATTTGTTATAAATGCCTCTTAAATTATCTTGATTTATTTTTTATGGCTTTTGCAGGTTATTTAAAGCCAGAAAATATATTAAGATTCTCTTTTGACAATAACAATGGTTTACTGATACAAGTCCTACTAATTAACCCATAGCAAGGAGAGAAGAGGTGGATTCATACCATTCCCAAGGATATTTGCACATAAGTGAATATAACTCACTCCACCAGAATTGGAACACAGCTCTCTGATTCCAAGCTATTATGCATTACACCACCTGCACATCCAAGCTTACAGCACATTGTATTCCCATCTAGATTCTGACTAGGCTATATGCTGTTTAACTCCAGTGACTGTACAAAAAACAGTATTTTAACATAATATGGCAGTAAACTTGATAAAATTTTGAACAAGTGAACTAGGCACTACAGAAGTAAAAAAAACTCTTTAGAGAATTATGTATCAGAATTATAAGCAAGACACCATAATTAGGTAATATACTTTCTTAATGGAGACAAAGGAAAAATATCCCAAAATAACTTAAATGGTCTAAATTCCAGCTATAAATGGCTTTCTACGATTATGTCAATGCTGCTTTTCACCCCAAAAAGCAAACATTTTTCTTTTAAATTCTGATGTTTTGCAGCTTGTAAGGCCACAAGAGAAACACAATAAAATATATTTTTATGAAATGTAAACTTTTAAGAATTTCATTTCAGCTAAAATCTATTTCTTTCTATTGAGATGTTTTCAATAATCCTTTCCCAAACTTTTTCTATTGTCTGCCATTAAAATGCAATATGATTATTTCAAGACAATAGTAATCACTAAGGGAAATACTATTATTGATTTTTATTGTATTCATCAATGACATCATGCATTTCAAGCAAATATATCAGTCTACTTCCTCATGCCCTGTGATTTGTGCCCACTGTGTCATCTACAAATGAACTACAATGACATTTATTTTGTACATTTCAAAGTAAATTTAGTTTGTAACAAAATGTATTGGAATAAAACAAAACGTAAAAATGTTCAAGAGGTACCATTTTAGCATGTGATTCTGTTTCACATGTGAGTAAAATTTATGACATATATACATATTCTAAAAGGTAACTTTCTAATGTGTTTTTCTATATAATTTTTCTATGGACTGTGAAATTTAAATGGTTTTAATTTAAAATTGAAAATGATGGAAAATGAAATGCAATTTCATTATTTGATACCCTTTTATCTCAAAAAAACATTGTACCAACAGCAAAAAGTTATGTGCCATTTATAGAGATGGTGCCATAGCTAAGAGTATTGTTTGAAAGTGGTTTGATTGGTTCAGAAATGAAAACCTTGATCTGTTATGACTGAGAATGTTCTGGCAGTCATGGATGAATTGAAACACTTATAATAATAATCCAAAACACAGGACATGACAAACATACTTCATATATGGGTGTTGTAAGGCATTTGAAAAAAAACTTGGATATGTGAATTGCTGCAATGTTTGGGTGCCACACAATTTAATGGAAAAAGTTTAATAGACCACATTTCTATCTGCTATTTTCAGCAAAAATCCATTTTTGAAAAGAACAATCACAGGCAATAAAAAATAGATTATTTGAAAGAATATGGAGAGAAGTAAACTAAATGTGCCATTGTTAACCACTTCAAAAGTTGGTCTCCATCAAAAGATGGTGATACTGTGTATCAGGTGAGATTGGAAGGGCATTCTATATTACAAGCTCTTTTCACAAATTCAGACAAGACCTGTTCCCAGCCCAATTAAACCCAGCCGTTAATGAAAAGTGTCTAGAACTGGTCAATCAGAAAGGTATCTTCTATCAGGACAATTCTAGACCACTCATCTCCTTGTCAACCTTGCAGAAATTAGCACAGTTTATCTGCAATGTCTTACCTTACCTGTTGTACTCACCTGACCTTGCACATTTGGGTTACCAGTTATTTTGGTCCCTACAAAATTCTCTGAGTACTGAGTGATGGGACCGAGTTATGGATTTGTTTTATGACTTATAAATCCTTTGTGGGTTATTTAAAACCAGGCAATATTTTTAAATTTGTTACGTTGTCTTTGTTCAAAATAGCCAAGAATTAGGAAGGCCATAGTTAGAGAGAGTATCAAAGAAACAGAAGACTAGGTAGGGAAAACAAAGAAGATGTTTATTAAATACTCATACATATTACAGTAAAACTTGAGTAAATCAACTACTCCTCAAATTTTACTCTAATGTGGCTATTTGCCATATTTATAAGTAGGAGTAGTCCACTGTCACAGTCATAGGGAAGAGCAGGAAGTACTTGGAGTCCTACTCTACAACAAAATTGTATATAAATGATCTTAACAGGAAGAACTTCAATTCTCTGAAAGCCTGTAAAATCCCTTTAGCCCAGCTTATCACTGAGAAAGATGACAAACTCTGGGAGGATGGAATCATGAAGCTCCCTCAAAGATAACAAAAGATAATGGAACAAAATGGCACATATTTGATTAGTTTATTTAACCATATATCTAAATATTTGATTTTAAAACACTACAAATTTCAATTTTGCCAATTACAAAATGATACTTACTGTTTTGTTTCCATCAAATTTAGAATTTAAGGTGATATTATATTTGACTTTAAAAAAATATTGGTGTCTCCATTCAATCTTGAAGCAGGAACTGTTGGTAAATGTTGGATTTGAACTTAATTGTACTTGAGCTGGCTTTACTGAAATCAAGATAAAAATTATATAACCTCACTGTAATTATATTCAAACTTCTAATTAGATTCTGAAATACAAAAAATACTAAATAATTATAAACCAATGCTAAAGTTTTTTTCTTACTAACTTTTCTTTCTTAACTTTGAGGTATGCAAGCAAGATCTTACAAGTTGAAATGGTCAGATGTAACCATAAGTTCTATGCTAACAGTTTCTTCTCTTGCATTTCTCACATGTGGCAATCTCTTATGTCTCCTTGCTTTCCAGTCAAGTTTGATCTTCAAAAATTTAAAAGCAATATCAATCATTATCTTGTGCCTTTTTAAATTGTCTTTTTATTGTTCTCACTCCTTAATAATGTTTGCTTTTTTCATATTCTCTCACATTTAGTAACCCCTTGCATCTTAGTGACTTTATTGCCATACCTGGGGTGAAATGACTAAAATAAAATTTTGAGAATATGAATATGCAAATGAATGGTAAAATGGAAAACATTTTGTGTAATATCTAGAACAACTAAGGTTTTTTTTTTTTTGCTGATGGAATTATGTGTGTGTCAGGTGAGGACGATATAATTATGCACCAAAAACACTGAAATTTTTAAATGTAAACTTCTTCAGACATGTATGAACATGCAGTCTAGCCAATTTCATTCATTTTCCCTATGCTTTTATCTCTTTTATTATTAAGTATCCAATATATATATATATATATAACAATTGAAGTTATATATATATATATATATATATATATATATATATATAAAACAATTGAAGTTATATAACAATTACAGTAATATCTATATATCTTCAAATAAAGAGAAAAAACAGGCAGATTGAAAATCCACAGTTCTAAAGCATTTACTTTTTTAAAAAGTGCTTGAAACCACATAGAACATACTATTTTATTTCAAAAATAAATTACATCATGACATAGAAATTTCTATATTTCAAAACTTTAAATTTGTTCCATTATCAAGTGATGTTAAGTAACTAATTGAAGAGTTAAGAAGGAGGGGGGAAACAAGATTTCAAAATTTTATGGATATGTCCTGTTTGACCAATCAAAAGACAGGTCAAAGCTAAAGAAGAAAAGTGAAATATATAGGTTAGAGGTTAGGGTGTGTGTGTGTTATTCACACTTGTCTAGATGGACTCTCATTTTTGGAAGTGTTACCATTACATCCAGTTAAGAATATAATTCTAAGATACAATGAAATGATCAAAGATATATATCTAACAATATCATTTTTTTTAATTATTTCTGTATATACTTTAGAACTATCTTAAAGAGGCCTCTAGCATGATTAAATCATTTTTATATATATTATTTTGATCCTAAAATCTAAAAATTATATTCAATGTGACAGAAGACATGGCAATATTGAAATTAAATAGATCATTATTTTTAGGAAACTTAATAATATGCAGCTGTTCATATAGACACAAAGGACATGGGTCTTTTAATGACTTACAAATTCTTGTTTTTTTTTTAATATTTTCTATTTTACTGTGGGGATTTTATTGATTTCTTTTAAATACCAAAAATATTTAGAGAGGTTATGGTACCCATTATTGCTAAAAGAAGAAATATGTTAATACTACCTTTGTTTAAAAGAGTATTTTTGTGTTTTCAGTATAAAATTTCTTAACATCTGGATTTTCAGTAGATGGAATGGTGCATTAGTAAACAATAAATTCAGTAAGACATTTATTTTGCAATGGACAATTTATGGGATTTTTTTCAATTACATAATTTATTATCAGTATTATTAATTTTCATTTTAGAATTACTATTGTTTATATTTAGGTTTAAGTATTTATTTAAAATTTTATTATTATGTTTTTTATAATATTTTCTAGACTATCAAATTATAACTTAATTTTAGCATATTTTTATTGAAAATCTTGCTAAGAGGATTATTACTTGGAAAAAGTTTCCAAGTCATAATCCTCTTAGCAGTAGTTCATATTGCAACTATACTGAATGGGCCTTAATTGCATTTTCCTGGAGAGAGCTCATTATCTAGTGTGATCAACAGTTTAAGCAAGGCCAGTATGCTCAAACCATTGGTGACAATGACTTTATGCTAGCACAACAACTGATGGTTTCAAACAGTTCCATCTATCAAATTTCACTCATAAGGAATGGGTCAACCTATGGTGTGGTTTTTCAGGCACTTTCCAAAGGTTCTGCCTGCTGGGATCACCGCCCCAGGCCAA